TCAACCCGACAGCAACGGATTTGATTTTTTAATGACATAAATAAGTAAATGATTGCCTTGAAAGTTTGATGAGGAATGGAGTTTTTGCATAGTTTCAAAGTACCTTAGCACAAAATGTCTATTAATTATAAAGGGAAAAAAGAGTAACTCCACAGTGGAGATGCTTAGCAGATATCACCTTAATCAAGTGATCCAAGAGGACATCACCAGCAATGGGACAAATCAAAGTCATGCCCCTCCTGATAGGACTCAATGAGAAGAACACAGTTTGCCTGCCAAAGATACAGAACCTATAACATCAGAAAAACCCACCCGAGGGAAACTCTACAAAATAACTGGTCTCTAATCTTCAAAACTGTCAAGGTCAACATGTCAGACACAAAAGGACAAATATTATATGATCCCACTTAGATGTGAAATATTTAGAATAGGCAAATGCATAGAGACAAAGGTAGACTAGGGTGTGGAATGGGGGCTATTGCTTAAAGGGCACTGAGTTTCCATTTGGGTTGATAAAAAAAGTTTTGGAAGTAGATGGTGGTGATGGTCGCACAACATGGGGAATGTAATTAATGTCGTTGAATTGTACACTTAAAAAGGGTTAAAGGGGCAGATTTTAGGTTATATATATTTCACCATGACTGAAAAACGACAAACCCTGTCCAGGTCATTGTGTAAGGATAGGGTTAACTCGCAGCTGGTCTGTGGTAGCTCTATGCTCACCTCCTAAGATACCTGGAGCCAGGACGCTGACCTTCAGCCAGTATGAGGATGAAATGTACTAGCCAGTAATTTAAAACTGCTGTTACTCACAAGCCACTGCAGTATGGCAAACGCACAGGTGGTGTATGTATACATACTCACCCCATTTAGATAGGACAGGGAGGAGAAGCCAAATTAGGTTGTAGATGACACTACAGGACATCGAACTGGAAATATCAACTGAATCACCGTGGTGTTGCACAGGTGGTTCGAGTCTCCAGCATGATCTGACTACAGCTCACCAAGAGGCCACATCTCCATTAATAACTAGGTATTAAGAAGGATGGCGGGGCACTTCCGGTGGCATACTGAGAAACCTAAGAAAATCCGAGTTTGGACAATATTTAAAGGACAGTCTGCGTAAAGGACCAAGGACCTGGGGTTGGACCAAAGGGCGTGACCCCACAGTGGACCAAGAGTATGATTCATTGCCTCCAAGCGTGCACATCCTGGGAAAAAGAAATAGACCCCTCCCGGCGAGGCCAGGCAACTTCAGGGGTGGACACAAGAACAACTCTGGTCATGGCTGTGACTTGGCTGTACGTTAATTCACGGGTCACTGAGTGTCTGGAAACAGACTATAAAAAGAAGAAAAGGTGGCCCAAGTAGCTTTGTGTTGGAAATGCCTGTGACCCGTTGCTTCTGGAAAGGAGATGTATCGACTGCGATAAAACTTGATGGGCTCAAATAAATAAATACAACGCTGTTAAAGTCTGAATCTCTAGGTGCCCTCCAAAAGCTGGTCTACATGGTTTATTGAGATTTCGTCTCATGGCGACCCCACATGTTGCAGAGTAGAATAGCACTCCACAGGGTTTTCAAAGCTGTGACCCTTCTGAAGCAGATCACCAGGCCTTTCTTCAGAGCTGCCTCTGGGTGGGTTTGAATGGCCAACCTTTCAGCTAGTAGTCGAACGCTTCACCGTTTGCGCCACACAGGGACGAATGAGAAAATCCTGTGTAATTGTTGCAGTCATGAAAGTCGAAGACGGCCTGAGATTGTAGCGCAGCTGGAAGGAGACATGACAACTAAACGCCATTTCAGATTCTGAACTGGGTCCTCTTGCTTTATAGGACATTGTTGGGGATACTGGCAAAACTGCAACAGCCTCTGAGGACGAAATGGTAGTGTTATGGGTTGAATTGTGTCCCCAAAAACTATGCATTGTGGGTTTTATACTTCATTTGGGAATAGGGCTTTCTGTGCTATGTTAATGAGGCAGTATTAGTGTAGGGTGTCTTAAACCAATCTCTTTGGAGATACAAAAGAGCAGATTAAGCAAGCAAGCACAAACGAAGGGATCTTAAGATACATGCTACCTGATTGCCAAGGACCTTCCCCTAGAGTGGCCAGAGAGAGAGAGAGTCTTCTCCTAGAGCCAGCACCCTAAATTCAGACTTACAGCCTCCTAAATTGTGAGAAAATAAATTTCTGTTTGTTAAAGCCACCCACTTAAGGTATTTCTGTTATAGCAGCACTGGATAACTAAGACAGGTAGTCATGCATTAATATTAATTTTCTGATTTTGATGGTTGTATTGTGGTTATGGAGCCCTGGTGGTGCAGTGATTAAGCGCTCGGCTGCTAATCAAAAGGTCAGCAGTTCAAAGCTACCAGCTGCTCCTTGGAAACCCTATGGGGCAGTTCTACTCTGTCCTATAGGGTTGCTGTGAGTCGGAATCGACTCGACGACAACAGGTTTGGGTTATTGTGGTTATATCTATGGAGTACAGTTTTGTTCTGACACACATGGGGTTTCTATGAGTTGAAATCAACTCAGCAACGATTGGTTTTTATTGTGGTTCTGTAGGAGAATGTCCTTGTTTGGAGGAAATACACGTTAAAGTATTTGGAGGTGATGTCAAAAAATTTCTCTCAAATGGTTCAGAAAAAGGTTTTTGTCTTATACTCACATTTCTGTAACTTTGAGAGTGTTCCAAACCACATATATATATGGAAAGAGGTGTGTATATGTCGAGTCCCTGGATGGTACCAACGGTTAAGGTACTTGCCTGCTAACCAAAATGTTGGAGGTTCAAGTCCATCCAGAGGCACCTAGGAAGAAATACCTGGCCTTCTGCTTCCATAAACTCAGCCACCGAAAATGCTATGGAGCACAGTTCTACCCTGACACACGTGAGCTCGCCAGGAGCTAGAATCAACTTGATGGCAACTGTTATGTTTTATTTTTTTTTAATGCATACGTATCTATATACACAATTTTAAAAAATCAACAATTAAAGCGATACCAAATATGAGACAACTTTGCAACATTTGTTGTGCTCTCTTAAGGTTCCCAGCTGTGGGCATGAATTCGTTCAGTTTTAAGCTTGTGCAAGCGCATCCTAACCCCCTGCGAGGCATGAACTCCTGAGAGGACCAGCTAGATCAGGCCCGACCAGCAAATTGTTGTGGGAAAGAATGGCTTGTTATAAACTACTATAAAAATTATGATTATTTTTAGTAAATGATCTCCAAAATTTAATTGGTTCATATCCAGTTACAACATACTGTAGTTTTATAATAAATTGTTCCTGGCAGGGTCAAAGGAAGCCATGTTATCTAAAACTAGAATTGCATTTGACATCACTGGGATTTTTTTATAGCAAGGGTAAGTAAAACTGGGTTTTAAAAGTGCCTAGGCCAGAATCGACTCTGTTGTTCTTTTCTCCAATCATATTTCCATGTGCGTGGGTCCCTCAGGAGTCCCTGGGTGATCAAATGGTTAAATGCTTAACTATTAATCAAAAAGTTGGCTGTTTGAACCCACCCAGAGGCACCTCTGAAGAAAGGCCTGGTGACCTGCTTCCAAAAGGTCACAGCCTTGAAAACCCTGTGGAGCAGTTCTACTCCGCACACACCAGGTCGCCATGATTGTAATTGACTCATGGCAACTGGTTTGGTATTAGCTTTTGGGTCCCTCAGGCACCTGCAAACCAGGCTCTCAATTGGGTTATTGATAAATATTTACCGAGCATCTGGAGTATTTTGAACCATACCTGTGGGATGAGTTGAAGTCAAACAGGTAAAGCAAATGGAAGAGCATTCCAGACAGTGCGGACAGGCTGGATGGCAGTCAGGTTGACTGTGGTGACGGAGTGGGAGAGGTGGGCAGGGGACAGATCACAAGGGCCTTGAAAGATTTTGGATTTTATCCTCAATGCAATAGGGAACCGCTGAAGAATTCTGAGGAGGGGAGTGACATGATCCTATTTACCTTTTATCTCATCCATGCAAGGGATGATGGTGGCTTGGAATAGAATGATGGTCATGGGTGGAGACAGGTAGACAGGTTCAAAATATATTTTGGAGGCAGAATTGACAAGACTTGCCAAAGACTATGCCCTTGACCTATGTGCAGCCCAAGCTTTGTCCATGGTTTTGGTCAGAGATGGGAGGTTTATGAGGGATTTTTAAGGGCTGCAAATGCAGTTCCACCCATACAGGTCTTGGGCTATAGATGGATCCAGCTTCGGGATCAAGCTGGACTCTCAGAGAAGATACTGGTTCATACTACCTTCCCCACCCCTGTCCCCCAAAACCAAGAACCTTCACTGAGCTCCTCTTAGCCCAACGCTCTTGACTGTTACTGAGAACGCTGCAAGAGGCAGCCGAATCAACACCCTCCTTTTTTTTACAAATATTGTTGAGGACATTGCTTTCACTTTACTCAGTAAACTCTGTATGAAGACCCACAAGAGAAATTTCTTCTAGTGTTAATTGCTAGGAAAAGCTTTGCTTTCTCTGAGGAACTGGTATTCTTTTTCCTCTCTGATCTAAGAAAAAAGTCATTCGTGGGGACTCCCTTCCTGTAGACAGGAAGCTCAAAGTCACATTTGAAGCCCTACTACTGCAAGCACGGGGCCTGGTTCTTTGTGTTGCTCAAAATTTCGGTCCCCTCACTTGCCCCTGGCCATCATCCCCACTTCTCTCTGCCATGTGTCACTTCCAATTCACATTTCTATTTTTCCTGGTCTACGGTTCATTCTTATCTCTATGCTACCATTCCTTATTGGGTCTGTTCTTGTTGAAGCTACGTCTTTTGTGGATGGAGGTGGGGTAGACTTTGCTTCTCTCCACCCCAGCTCTCACAGGGGCATCTCGAAGCCCCAGTGATGACAGTGGAGATGAAAAGCAGCAGTGGGAGAGGTACTTTGTTTCACATCAACCTGCAGCCTATTTGGCGGCAGGGAGTTCTCCTTGTTGGGGCTGCTCCACCCCACTGTGCCCAGAGGCCCCTCACCTCCTCTCCATTGCCTCGATGGTCTCTACCAGGGGCATGTTGCGGGTCTCGGTCAGGAAGCAGACAGCCAGTCCGGCCAGGATGGAGATGGCCCTGAAACCCATGGGCGGCAGGAAGGTGTTGAACTCTCTGAGTGTGGTGATCAGGGGTGCCGCCAGGCCCCCAAGGTGGGAATTGGCTGAGGCAAAGCCCATCCCCATCTGCCTGTTGGAGGAGCATGGGCATGGGCTGGACCCCCCAGTGGCTTGGGAGCTCCAGGCCCTGGGATGTCAGAGGGCAGAGCATAAAGGGGAGGGTGTCCTGCTTTGATAAACCCAGCAGGTCTTAATCTGGGCAGACATTCACCTGCCTCCCCCACGCACCCACCTGATCTCCGTGGAGTACAGCTCGCCTGTAAACAGGTACACACAGATGAAGAAGCTGGCCAGGCAACCTTTGCCCAATGCCGCCTGGGCGGTGCGCAGGGTCTGCATGTCTGAAGTGGGCGGGGGAGGCAGAACAGTGAGGGGAGAACCCAGAGGGGAAACCCCAATTTCCACCACTTCGTATCCCCACCTGAGACCTAGATGGCCCCAAACTGTCCTTCTCTGCCATACACTTCCTTCCTCCCTTATTTCCATCTGTCACCAAGTCCTGCTGGGTGGCCGGACAAGCTTTAGAATCAAAACCCAAAACCCATTGCCGTCTAGTCGATTCTGACTCATAGCAACCCTATAAGACAGAGTAGAACTGCCAAGTAGGATTTCCACGGCTGTAATCTTTATGGAAGCCGACTGCCACATCTTTCTCCTGCGAAGCTGCTCGTGGGCTAGAACCACCAACTTTTCTTTTAGCAGCCGAGCGCTTAACCACTGTGCCACCAGGGCTCTGGTTCAAATTCTGGTTCTGGCCCAGCTGAGGGACCTCAGTAAATGTTACTTAACCTCTCTGAGCCTCATGTCCTCAGCCATAAAATGAGGCAAATACTAGTGCCCGCTTCATGGGGTTGTCGTAGGTTGGCATGATGTCATGAGTGGAAAGTGCTTAAACCAAAAAAACCAAACCTGTTGCCGTCGAGTCAATTCTGACTCCTAGCGATCCTATAGGACAGAGTAGAACAACCCCATAGGGTTTCCAAGGAGCAGCTGATGGCTTTGAACTGCCCACCCTTTGGTTACCAGCTGAGCTGTTAACCACAAGGCCACCAGGGCTCCGAAAAGTGCTTAGCGCTCATTAAACGTTTGCTGTTATCATTATTAATGTGCTTGTCATGTTATTATTTATAAACAACAAAACCATATTTATAAATAGCAAAAACGAAATTCATATGGCCAACATCGGGGCAATATTGAAGAAATTATGATACTTCCTGTAGGTTTGGTGGCAGCGCCAGCCGCACACTAGGATTAGGTGGGGATAGTTCATAAAACACTCCTACCTGGGCCCTACCCCATGTTCATTACATCAAAGTCTCTTGGGGATGGGCTAGAGATTTTCTATGTTCTTAGAGGTCCCCAGGAGATTCTAATGTGCAGCCAGAGTTGAGAAACACCACTCTAGGTGAAATATAGAGTCATAAAAAATTAGGTTGACGAAACATTTGCGCTAACATGGAAAAGAATATTTACGATTTACCGGTTGCCATCAAGTCAACTCTGACCCATGGCAACCCCATGTGTGTCAGAGTAGAACTGTGCTCCACAGGGTTTTCAGTGGATAATTTTTTGAAAGTAGATTGCCAGGCTTTCTTCCAAGGTGCCTCTGGGTGAACTCAAACCTCCAACCTTTTGGTTAGCAGCCAAGCGTGTTAACCATTTGCATCCAAGGACTCCCATTCATATTCTAGAATGTATAGCAAAAAACATAAAATTATATTTGTGTGTATATGTAATGTATATGGTGCCCTGGTGGCACACTGGTTAAGAACTCAACTGTTACCCAAAAGGTCAGCAGTTCGAGGCCACCAGCCACTCCTTGGAAACTCTATGGGGCAGTTTTACTCTGTCCTATAGGGTCGCTATGAGTTGTAATCGACTCGATGGCAACAGGTTTGGTTTTTGGTAAATACGTATACATATGTATGTGTGTGATTATATATGATATATAGGATCGACTCAATGGCAACTAACTATACATGTAACAACTATATATATATACATACTCACACACACATATACGTTCATACATATATATATATATTTAGGACCCCTGGTGGCACAGTGGTTAAGAGCTCCTTGGAAACCCTATAGGGCACTTCTATGCTGTCCTGTAGGGTTGCTATGAGTTGGAACCGACTTGATGTCACCTCACAACAACAGCAACACATATATAAATATATACCTCAATAAACCTACAAATAGGAGAAAACACTGGAATAAAATATGTCAGAATAGCAATAATAACACCGATAATAATAAATACCAACAGTGATAATGTATGCATTTTACAGGTGAGGAACTGAAGCACAGAGAAGTTGGGCAACCTGCCCGAGGCTGTGATGGTAAAGCTGGGGTCACGCCTGGGCAGGAGTGGTTTAGCTCGTGCTCCAGAACCCTGATTCTCAATCCTGGCTGCTCGTTCACTGGGGACTTTTTAAAACTGAGGCTTGGGTCCCCCCACTTGAGATTCCAATTGCTTTGGCCTGGCGCGTGGCCTGGGCACTGGGAGTTGTCACAAGTCCCCCGGTGGTGATAATTACAGCCAGGTTTGCAAGCCACTGGGGTGAGTCCACTGAGACTCAAACCCTAACCTCCCAACCCTGGAGATGCCACCTGCCCAGGCTTCTAAAAGACACAGACACAGCTAGCCACACGCGAACCAGCTCTTTTGCTCTCCAGTTGTTTTATATGAATTAGTCTAGTCTCCCGACAAGGCCGTAAATTCTCTGAGAGCAAAGATAAATTCTGTGAGTGCAAAGACTCATGGCCTTTGCAGATCCTCCCCGACTAAGCACTAGGCACTAAGTGCTTAATAAGAACTCTACGAATGCACAGCTGCTCTCTTTCCAGATCCAGAAGAACACCCATCAGCCTCGTGTCCTCGTATTTGTTGCCCACCAGACCCCAGAGGCTCCCATTTCTCCCAGGAGCCCGGCCTCCCCGCCTCTTGGTGGGTGGTAAGGGCAGCAGCGGATGGCTCACCTGCCGGCACAAACAGGTTGGCGATCACCATAGAACCAGCCAGGATGAGGAAGGAGGCCACTGTGACCCGGCGGCCCACGTAAATCATGGTGGTGGTGGCCACCAGCATGGCTGGGATGTCGATGACCCCAAACAGGACCTGCATCAGATAGATGCTGAGCCCAAACTTCTGCAGGTCCATGGCCAGGCCATAGTAAGCCATGGAGTTGGAGAACCTGAGAGAGGTGGCAGAATGGTCCCATTTCACCCAACGGGTCAGTGTTCTGGGCCCGGGGAGGGGACACAGGATGAATAACATAGGACTCCTGTCCTCAGGGAGTTAAAATCCTCTAAATTCGCATGCACCCCATCCTGGTTCTCAGAATTTTCTGACTCTGGCCTTAGCGCCCGGAAGCCTCCCTCCTTGTCCCTTTCCAGCCTCGCACTCTCCGGCGTCTGTTCTGTGGTCCCTGGAGTGTGTGTTTATTTTTCCTGTCGGCATAACTTCAGCCTCTTGCCTTCAGTGACTGATCATGCGATACTGATACTCAAGGGAGTATCGCACCTGTTAAGAGTCAGAGGGAGAAAACCAGAGCCTTGAACAAGGCAAAGGCTTCATACAGCCCTCATGGTGTTTCCCAATGTTCACTGAGAAAACCTCACCTTAAGACAGCTGCTTCGGCCAACGGGTTTATGTGTGAACAAGCCACAAAGGCCTGGAGTCCACATACCTGAGCCTTCCACACAAATTTAAAAGGTGCTCGAGGAAAAGGGACTGGGAACTGGCCTTCAAGCACCCCTGTGGGTCGGCCAGGTTTTATTTCTGTGTAGACCACATGCTGGCACATGCCCAGGACCACACAGGGGAGGGGATTTGGCAGTGGGCTCTCCCTCAGAAGGGCCAGCATCTGCCCCTAAACCACCTCATTGAGGAACTCCAACCACCCCCCACCCCCTATCCCAGTTATGAGGGTCAGCGGAGAGGAAGAGAAAGGGACGAAACCTCTGGAAAAGTGACACAGTAATTCCCTTCAGCCTTCGCCTGGTCGTAGGTGGAAGTGAGACACAGGACCCCAAGAAATTATTTTTAACACTCTGAAAAAACCAAAACAGGCAAAACGTATCACGGCCCTCAATATTTCAGGGAAGGTGGTGTTGTGTATAGCGCTGGAGCTCTTGCACTTGAAAGTAGCTCATTTGACCTTGGAAGACCGACTCTACTTCATTTATCTCCTTACCCTGCCTGGACATCATGGTCATTGAAGGATTACCCCCGTGATGTCCTTCTCACCCTGCCCTTGTCCACCACTGACCATTCCCTTTTGACACTTCCCTTCTTGGCAGTTCTTCTGTCTCTGCCTCCCCGGCACTGCCCGTCCCCTCCCCTGCATTGGTATTTCTCTGTTTTCTTCCTCCTTCCTTCTCTCATATGTAGGTGTTTTTCCCTTCATGGGTCCGTTTACTCATTCCTTTGCTCCCTCACACAATGTAAATGCTCCACTAGGTCCTGGGCACACCTTGGTGAACGCACGGACAAGTCCCCTGCCCTCATAGGGCTTCCAGCCTAGTGTGGGGGGACAAGTGCTCGTGAGGGAAACCATGTAGGAACATCCCATAGTCAAAAAAAAAACTTCATCTCATGTTAAAAACTCAAAAAAGTCATCCCCAATGTTTTCCTCCACCACCTATCTGTCAGTTTGTTGCACTGTGGTGGCTTGCATGTTGCCGTGATGCTGGAAGCTATGTCGCTGGTATTTCAAATACCAGCAGGGTTGCCCATGGCGGACAGTTTTCAGTGGAGCTTCCAGACTAAGAAAGGCTAGGAAAAAAAGCCTGGAGATCTAATTCCAGATATTAGCCAATGAAAACCCTATGGATCCCAACGAATATTGTCCGATATAGTGCTGGGAAATGAGCCCCTAGACTGGACCAAAAAAACAAACTTGTTGCTGTCAAGTCAAGTCAATTCCAAGGAGTGACTTGTGGATTCAAACTGCCAACCTTTTGGTTAGCAGCCAAGCTCTTAACCTCTGTGCCGCTAGGGCTTGCCTAGATTAGAAGGCACTCAAAATACACAGTGGCTGCTACAATGGACTCAAGCACACCAATGATGATTGTGAAGATGGCACAGGACCAGGCAATGTTTTGTTCTGTTGTCCATGGGGTCGCTATGAGTTGGAGCTGACTTGACGGCAACTACCATCAACACCATTTCACTGCCTCAATCAATGTCTTCTGAATGAACACTGTGGCTCTCTTTCTTTTAAAAACTTCCGAGCCTCTGTCTGGGATCTAAAAGGCTTGCAAGCGGCCATCTAAGATGCATCAATTGGTCCAACCACCTGGAGTAAAGGAGAATGAAGAACACCAAAGACACAAGGAAAGTAGTAGCCCAAGAGACAGAACAGGCCACATAAACCAGAGACTTCATCAGCCTGAGATCAGAAGAACTAGATGGTGCCTGGCTACCACCAATGACCACCCTTGACAGGGAACACAATAGAGAGTCCCTGATGGAGCAGGAGAAAGGTGGGGTGCAGAACTCAAATTCTAGTAAAAAGACCAGACTTAATGATCTGATTGAGACTGGAGGAACCCCGGAAAGCATGGCCCCTGGATTCTCTATCAGCCCAGAATTAAAACAATTCCTGAGGCCAACTTTTCAGACAGGGATTGGACTGGACTGTGGGACATAAAGTGATAGTCATGAGGAGTGTGCCTTTCAGCTCAAGTAGATACAAGAGACTAAATGGGCAGCTTCTGTCCAGAGTGAGATGGGAAGGCAGAGAGGGTTAGGAGCTCGTTGAATGGACATGGGGAATCAGGGGTGGAAAGGAAGAGTGTGCTGTCACAGTATGGGGAGAGCAATTAGAGTCACATAACAATGTATATATAAATTTTTGCATGGGAAAAAATAAACTCCTGAGCCTCTAGTCTTTCCCAACTATTTGGCATGTCTCTGGCAGGATGCAGACCAAGGTGGACCCAAGGACAGCATAGAGGGGCTCAGGAGGAGAATCGAGTGCTCACACGGTGAAGCCCTTGGTGTCTACCCTTCTGTCCTCCTCCTTGTGTCCCCTTCTCTGGCGAGGAGTCCACAGCCACATCCTGAACGGCGTGCATTCCAGAAAGGGTACTGATATTTCAGGATGTGATCACGGATGGGCCTCTCTAGCAGCCATGTTACCCATTCTCACCTCTTAAAAAAAGAAAAAAATTTTCCTTTTTATGGTCTTCCCTATTTTCATCTCTAGGTGAGATTGACTTCCCAAGGGTCAGGATGGGAAAGACCCCATCCATGCTCAGTTACGATAAAACACTGAGGTATAAAATATAAAAATAGATAAAACATATAACATATGTCAAGAGATAATCCAAAATGACACTCTTCTCCTGATGGCTCCTGGGACCATCACATACTAAATCATCTAAGAGGAAACCTAGAAAAATCCCAATTGAGCCAGTTGGGAGCTGTGACATCAGCAGGAAGACGAGGCTCCCAAATAAAGACACAATCCTTACTTGCCTCCCTCACAAACACCACAAATAATCTTCCATCTCAAGGTCCTTTACTTAATCACATCTGCAAAGTCCCTTTTGCCATGTAAGGTACCACGAGATCTGGGATTAGGATATGGACCTCTTCAGCTGCCTTGGAAGAAAGGCCTGGTGATCTACTTCCAAACTATCACAACCACTAAGAACCCTATGGAGCACAGTTCTACTCTGACACACACGGGGTTGCCATGAGTTGGAATCAACTCCATGGCAACTGGTTTTTTTTTTTTTCTTCTGGTTTTTGGTGTACACATGCTGTTATGGATTGAATTGTGTCTCTCAAAAAATATGTGGTGTACAGACTGAGTCCGGTACAGCTACATGGTGCCCGGCTACCACCACTGACTGCTCTGACTGGGATCACAACAGAGGGTTCTGGACAGAGCTAGAGAAGGATGTAGAACAAAATTCTAACTCACAAAAAAAAAAGACCAGATTTACTGGCCTAAAGGAGACTGGAGAAACCCCAAGAATATGGCCCCCAGACACCCTTTTAGCTCAGTGGTGAAGTTACTTCTGAGGTTCACCGTTCAGCCGGGGAGTGGACAGCCCCATAAAACCAAATGGGACTAATGAGGCACAGCAGTCCAGGGACAAGAACTAGAAGGCAGAAGGGGACAGGAAAGCTGGTGATAGGGAACCCAAGGTTGAGAAAGGATAATGTTGATGTGTTGTGAGGTTGTTAACCATTATCATAGGGCAACATGTGTACTAACTGTTTAATGAGAAACTATTTTGTTCTGTAAACCTTCATCTAAAGTGAGAATAGCAGCACAATTGGAAGAGAGTAGTCGATGTCACTGAACTGTGCATGTAGCAATGGTGTATCTTTGGTTATGTATATTTTCACAAAAAAAAAAATAGGTCGAGAAGGGAGAGGGTGGACGTGTCATGGGTTGTTAACCAATGTCATAAAACAATATGTGTACTACTGTTTCATGAGAAACTATTTGTTCTGTAAACCTTCACCTGAAGTACAATTAAAAAAAGGGGGGGGGAGGAAAAAAGATATCAATCATGTTTAATTAAAAGAATGGAAACAATTTTTGAACTGTATACCCAAAACTGTTGCTAAACTCACTGAAAGTCATTAGTGGGCTTCAGTGTATATTTTATTCCTTGATTTCTGAAATAAAACTAAATTCATTCCTTTTGATCTTTAAAAAAAAAAAAATTATGTGGAGTAAATCCTGTCCCCTATACCTGTGGATTGAATCCCATTTGGAAATGGGTTTTCTTTGTTATGTTAATGAGGCAGTACTAGTGTAGGGTGTGTCTTGAGTCAATCTCTTTTGAGATATAAAAGGAGCAGATTAAGCAAGCAGAGATGTAGGAAGACAGATGCCATGCCACATGAAAATCACCAAGGAGCCAAGGAACAGATGAAAAGAGACAAGGACCTTCCCCCAGAGCCAACAGGGAGAAAGCCTCCCCCTAGAGCAGGCACCCTGAATTCAGACTTCTAGCCTCCTAAACTTGGAGAAAATAAATTTCTGTTTGTCAAAGTCACCCACTTGTGATATTCTGCTATAGTGGCACTATATATCTAAAACACATACTTTCTCCCAATTATTCAAACACTAATCTAGGTGTTCTTGTGAAAGAATTTTGCAGATGTAATTAAGGTCTCAAATCAATTGACCCTAAGATTCTGAGATTTTTTCTGGGTGAGCCTGAC